GGAGGAGGAGGAGGAAGAAGAAGAAGAAAGTGCAGGAGACAGCAGCAGCAGCAGCAGCAGCAACAGGAGCAGCGAAGATGAAGGTACACCAAAGAAAAGACTAAAAAAAAGAGGAAGAGACAGTAGCGAGGAGGAGAGAGAAGAAGAAGAAGAAGGAGAAGAAAAGGAGACAAATAAAGGGGACACAATAAGACAAGAAGAAGAAGGAGAAGGAGGAGGAGGAGGAGGAGGAGGAGGAGAGGAGGAGGAGGAAGAAGAAGAAGAAGAAGAAGAAGAAGAAAAGGAGACAGGAGGAGACACAAAGACACAAGAAAATAATAATAATAATAATAAGGAGACACAAGACACGCATGCAGCAGTAGGGGGATTATTAGAGAAATATAGGAGGGAAGAAGAGGAGACAGATGAAGAAAAAGAAGGAGACAGTAATTTATTTAATGAGGATGATTAACTATTTATTTATTTATTATTATTATTTATTTATATATTTATATATAAATAAATATATAAATAAATAAATAAATAAAAGAAAAAAGGAGACTATTTGTCTCCTTTTTCCTACAAAAAAGGAGACAAAAAGGAGACAAAAAGGAGACAAAATAATAAACAATATAAAAAGGAGACACATAAGGAGACAGGAGACAGGAGACAGGGGAAGGAGACAGGAGACAGGGGAAGGAGACAAAAAAAAGAAGGGAATAAATAATAAATGTTTTAATTCATGGCAGCAACGACTGTCATATTATTCAGGTGTATGTACACCTGAGGATGAGGGAGCAAAGCCTTTTCTTTGTTTTAGGGTTTAGGGTTTAGGGTTTAGGGTTTACACTGCAGCAGCAGCAGCTGCTGCTGCTGCTGTATGAGCATTTTGCTGCTGCAGCAGACCCCTTACCAACCTTTATTTATTTATTTAATTTATGTTTGTAATTTATTTATTTATTTATTTATTTATTTATTTATTTATTTATTTATTTATTTATTTACCTATTTTATTGTATAGCGCTGTCTTTATTGACAACACATTAAACAAGTACAAGACACGTAAACCCTAAACCCTAACCGTAAACCCTAAACCCTAATAGAGGAGGCGTAAACCCTAAACCCTAATAGAGGAGACGTAAACCCTAAACCATAATAGAGGAAGCGTAAACCCTAAACCCTAATAGAATTATCGTAAACCCTAACAGCAAACCCTCGCGCGCAAACCCTAGTAGCAACCCTTGGCAACTATATACATATAATATATATAATATATATATTATATATATATTATATATATAATATACATAAATAATAAATAGATTTATATTATATATAATATATAAATTAATATTAATATATTAATATATACATACTGTATATATGTATACATATATACATATATATATTATGTATACAAGGAGATAATATTACCCTAATAATGCATGCATAATAAAAAAGGAAAAAGAATAATAAATACTATCTTTTCCCTTAATAAAAAAAGAAAAAAAAATAATAAGAAGAAAAAGAATAATAAATAGTATTTTTTTCTTAATAAAAAAGAGGAAAAATAATAAAAAGGATTATAGTAAATATATTTTTATTATATATATAATATAGATATATAAATAAAAGAATAATAAATAGAAAAAGGAATAAAAGAATAATAAATAAATAAATAAGTAATAAAAAGAAAGAAAAGAATAAAAAATAAATAAAATAATAAATAAAAGAAAGCAATAAATGAGCAAATAGAAGTTAATAGAAGAAATAAGAATAGGAGTCAGTAAGGATATAGATAGGAATAAAAGAAAAATAAATAAATAAATAAATACAATAATAATAAATAAATAAATAAATAAATAATAAATAATTAAATAAATAAAACAATTATAAATAGTAATAGATAAAAAGAATAAAAAGAGAAAAGCAATAGAAGAAAAAGAGCTAAATAATAACACACGCACAAACACACACACAAGGTAGATCTTTGCATGCAGGAGGGAGAAAAGAATAAAAAAAGTAAATAAAATTAAAAGAAAAAAGGAAGAAAAAAGCAAATAAATTATAAATAATTATTTTTTTATCTTATTAAATGAAGAAGATCATTGTTTATTATTTATTTCTTTTTATTTGCACGATAAGGTATCTTCTGCTCGATCGTGTTCTTGCAAATGGTAGAAATCCTTCATTTTTGCAGCATTTTTTTGGGAATTTCTTTTGAAATATTTAATTTATAATATATAAAAACAAACACAATAATAAAAAATATAAAAAAGGGAGAAAAAGACGTAGAAGACGACCATTTAGAGCCCCGTTGGTGGTTGGTGCAGAAACCAATTGGTTTCTGCACTCTCTCCCATCCGGGTGTACGTACACCAGAAGTGGTATAAGAAAGAGAAGTTTACGAAGGGAATTAGAGAAAAAAAAACGACTTTTTTTGTATTTATTTTTTGTTGAATTCAAATATAAATGAAGTTATTTTGTTTTTTTTTTATCCAAAGATCTTAGCACAAACCTGTCCAATGGTGGACAGAGCCCATTGCCTTCTTGTGTTGTTACGCCTTTTCTTGTCGGTGGTTCTACCTACTTATGAGTGCATTTCTTTATTTTCTCCTTTATTCTCGTTTATATCACCTCAATTTACGCCTTCATAGGCGAAATTGACCCATTTCTTCATAAATTCCCCCGCTTTCCCCCTCATCTTCTACCCTGACCAGCAGCACTGCCTCTACCAGAAACGAGCAGAAAGAACAACAGGTTTCCTTCTTCTTGTCATAGAAGGTACTTTTCTCCATTTATTAATACACCCCAATTACATTATTTTATTTTCTTTCCCTTTTATTCATCTTTTTCCCCCTTTAGTGGCCAAAGCGCACTCACAACCCGTTTCTTCCCCGTTGAGGTCGCTTTCGCCTTCATTGTGATTCCCTGCTAGCTCTACAGCAGCAGCAGCAACAGCAGAAGTAGCAGCAACAGCAGTATAAGCAGCAGCAGCAGCAGCAGCAAATCTTCCTCATGGTGTGTCTTCCTTTATCCGATACAGAGGCACCCTTAGAGCGGCTAGCAGGTTGGCGTTTGCTGCTCTTTGTGGTCCTTGAGTTCTTTTTATGTGTTGTTTTTTCTTCTTATCCACCTGTCGATACACCTCAACTAAGACAAAATACAAGGAATAATCCTTCAGAGGCAACAGAAACTGCAGCAGAAGCAGCAGCACCTGCTGCAGCAGCAGCAGCAACAACACGCTGGGAAGGCAGCAATAACAGCGCACTACAACACGCCCATCCCTCCAACTTTGTGCAGGATCTATGGGGGCATCAAGACCCCATACCGACAGCAGCAGCAGCAACAGCAGCAGCAACAGCAGCAGAAAGAGGAGGAGGAATAGAAGATAATGGTTTGTCAGCAGCAGCAGCAGCAGCATCTACAGGACTCCTTTATACACAAACACAAATGCATCTTATAAACCCCACAAATACCCAAGACAGCAGGGGGGCCCCCTGGGCCCCTGCAGAAACTTGAGGGGCCCCCCTAGGGGCCCCCCTGTGTATTTATTAGCATTTTTACTGCTCCTTAGAGCCCCTCCCTATATAGTCTCACAATGCCTAGCTTCCCCCCATAAGGGGCGCTGCGCAGCAGCAGCAACAGCAGCAGCAACAGCAGCAGCAATAGTAGCAGGTACAGCAGGTAATGTGTCAGTATAGCAACAGGTAGTGACGGTACACCAGGAAGTGCAGCACCAACACCAGCAACTGCAACAGAAGCAGCAGCAGCAGCAGTAGCAGCAGCAGCAACAGCAGCAACAGCAGCAGGTGTTAAGGTTTGTTGCCGATAAAAAGGCGCTAAAAGTCTTTGATGTTTTTGCGGGGGAGCAGCGAAGGGCCTTCGCTGTCTCTACCCTAAACCCTAAACCCTAAACCCTAAACCCTAATTTTCTATTTATTTCATATATTTATTTTATAAAACAAATTTTTTGTCGCTGCGATCATTGCTGTTGCTGCTGCTGCAGTTACTGCTGCTGCTGCTGCTGCTGCTGCTGCTCATGCCTTTTCTTCTGCCTCTAATTCTTCACAAAGTTTTTTGCAGAATTCACGAATTTCTTCTGCCTCTTTGGCCATCTCGTCCCTTGATCTTGGTCTAAGGGGAAAAAAAGAAAAAAAAGAATAAAAAAAAGGAATAAAAAAAGGAATAAAAAAAGAAATAAAAAAAAGGAATAAAAAAGGAAAAAACAAGGAAAGAATATAAAAGAGGAAAAGAACACAAGGTAAATAACATAAAAATACACTATTTTAGGAGAAAAACAGCATAAAAAAAAAAAAGAAAAAAAGAAGAAATAAAATAAAAGAAATAAAATAAAATAAAATAAAATAAAAAAGTAAATAATAATAATAAACAGGCATAAGGTGCATATACACCGCAAAAGGGGAAAAGAAAAAAAAAAGAATCAATGCATGCGTTAATTAATATTAACAAAACAGCTGCAAGAGCAGCAGCAAATAAATAAATAAATAAATAAATAAATAAATAAATAAATAAATAAAATAAATAAATAAATAAATAAAATAAATAAATAACTTACTTGCGATCGTCATTATCTACTCCTTTTATATTATTATTATTATTATTATTATTATTATTATTATTATTATAAATAATATTTAATTTATTATTATCTATATGTGTATATACATCATCATTATTAATAAAATCTTTATGGTGTCTAGGCAGTACATGTATATGTACATGAGGAACTGTTTGTCCTGCTTCTTTACCATCTTGTATACTTATTGTTAATCCTTCTTTATTATATTTTTTCTTTAATACTTCTCCTACTAATTGGGCTAATATAAATATATCACATACTTCTTCGCTTGTTAAATCCTTAAAATACTGCAACAAATACACACCCAGCAGCAGCAGCAGCAGCAGCAGCAGCAGCAGATGAAGAAAATAATTTCTTTTTTAAAAAAAAAAAAAAAAAAAAAAAAAAAAAAAAAAAAAAAAAAAAAAAAAAAAAAAAT